ACAATTTATTAAATATATAAAAACACGAATTTTCAATACAATATAGCAAAACACGAAACATATCCACACATAAAAGATGGCATATTGTCATGACGCATTTACTGCTGTCGAGTAGAGCTCAGTTACTTTCCCCACCCTGAAATCATAGCAGTGTTTCAAAGCATAGTAATACCACAGGGCGTGACTAAATCTCACCTCTATATGGGCTGTAACCGCCGAAAGGATAGCCCATTGTGCCTCTATTATAGCCCGGAAAACCACCCATGCCCCACCCTACACCTGGTCGACGCCCGAAATCACGCCCATGCGAATGAGAATGTCTTCTCTTCCAACGTCCCACTGAAAAACTTATTACTCTCCTGCAAGGTTATGGTCAAAATCAAATAGAAAGAGTAAATGCGATTAATTTTTGTATCACTAGTGAATTAAAAATAGCTGGAACAATGACTCACTCACCTCTTTCCCCTGACACTATTAGGAGTAAGGATAATAGCAGAATAACGCCGAAAAGGATCCTCATTCGAAAACCCTTGGAAGCAGTCAGAGCAGATAAAGGAATGTAGCTGTTATTGAATGAACTTTGAAAGGTTGACAGAACTTATAAACAGAGAATCTTTTATAGTGGATCATTCGACACGGCTCGGCGAATAACGCACGTCACGAGCAGGTTCTGGAATTGAAAAAGCATATGTTAAGATCATAGTTTCAAGCAGTTCAGAGTTGTCTTCATTGAATTCGGTTATGAAGCCTTGCTTCTTGACGAACTGCCGCAATTCGCTGGAATATTGATGGATGACTTCCATCTCCTTAGGCAACATATGTATGTTAAAAAACCGGAAATGTCGCTTAACAAAAGAAGATCGAATGTAGGACTAACGTGCCAGTTCTTTTGGTCAATTACCGAACTAAGTCACAAAACATCTCCTAGTAGTTGTAAATACTTAACGTGAGAGGTGGGAACTTAGTGAAACAACTAATTTAGTACGCTCCAGGAACCATGCCCTTTCAGCTATGTAGTAACGGGGTGACCATTATTTTGAACCATAGTTGTACAACTAGCGCCCAGCCTAATATCCTTTCAACTTTTCTTTCCACAGCCTCCAGATCGTTCCTTCCCGATCTCCAGGCTATCTTGGAGCCGAATTAATAGATTTTGTGGCCAACCCCACGGTTCGGTGCATGTCGCTCGCAACAGCCTAACCTCAACTCCTTTGCTAGCCTCAATACACTTTCTTACACTTATCAGAACCTTTTGGAAACAATGGAAGAATGGTGGAAAGCTCCTCTCCCCAAAGACACGCTTTGCCCTTTCAGTGCAGTCTCTTCTAAAAAATTGAAAGGATGGTTCATGAGTGGATTACTTGAACAAATTTGGGATAAAGAGTTCTCACATTTATCATTTCTATATAGATACACTTTAAAACTTTGATGTTTACAAGTAATTTATTTATCTCACATAGCTTCTCTTTCTGGTTGTTCATCGAACACTTATGTTAAATTTCAACTACAGACACAACTATGCTCTAATTTGACTGTTGGAATCTGCTGAGTATCAGTCTACAGTATACCATAGTAATTTCTTCTCTTTTTTGGGATAATAGGTAGTAACCTTTCTATTGCAAGTTGTGTTGTTTTTTTTAGCTGTGTTTGGACCTCCTGGTCAGATATTACTGTTTAATTCTCTCTTATAACCTTCAACAACTAGACTAATTCTGTCATTCCCAGCCTCACTGAGGAGCCTCCTGGGATTGACGGAATAAAGTGGTTCGTCTGAGTGGAGGCGAAACGAACCACTCTAAACTCTAACGATTCATTTAAAACATTTTTTATCCATTTATCATTTAGCCAAGGTCAAGCACTCGCTGTGCGAAGATTAACGAGAAGGATCGTATCTGGCCAACATAAGGGGCCGGAAGTGCGTAAGCGCAAGGACCAGTTTTAGAATTTGAGTGTTCTGACAAGGAAGTCTTTCAGAATATGGAGCGTTTTTTCGAAACGGTTTTTTGTATGTAATGAAGGCACGCGTGATAACAATTTTTCGGAGCGGCTCTGGGAATGCATGCATGTCGAATTCAGGGCTTGTGATTCGACTGGTTGTGATCTTGAAGACAATTTTCGCATGCAGTCTTGGAGAAACTATCTCTAAATCCACGCTTCCAAAATGCAACCATTCGACGCTCTGAATGCTGTAGAGTTCGCTAAAAATGAAAAGTTTCACTTTTTAACGAAAATTTTCCGCCTTTAGTGTGGCACTCGCAGGGCAGCTCAGAAAAAGTGATCATCAGGGTCATGCTCCACGCACCTGCCCCTATTAATATGCAACAAACAGTTCTGAAAAAGTTCTCCATTAGCCGAAGATTGTACGGATAGGCCAGGGCGATGTGAAATTGAGAGCAGACTCTGAATGCAGTGCGACACTAACCAACATGGAGCATCTCAGAGCAAAAGTTGTTGCTCAAAGGAGGAATTCACTATGAGAACGAAGGTCAAAAGGGGAACATTGCATAGCTGGGAGATAGGCGACCCTCCTGAGGGATGCTGATCGACGCGCAATTGGCAGCGAAAGATTTTACCTTTGGCGACTAGCATGGCTCACTCTTGGCGCGGTTGGCGGGGTCCGCCCACCGACTATCTAATCACTCGCCGCAGGTCTATACGTGGCGAGTGATTAGATAGCAGAGAGAGCGTAGTGTTGAAGAGGGCACAGCGATGAGTCGCATCAATGCGCAAATCAACGGGCAAGGAAAGGTCCCATTTCTGGGTTTCGAAACCGTGTTTTCTTCTTCATCGCTCCTCCACTACCACCTCTACCTTTATTTCCAATGAGCTAACTTTTCATCGTAATTCTGCCTTTCAGCGCATCCTCAGTGAGCATGAACTCGCATATTCTGTTAGGAGAATTCCGATGCTCTCACCTCAGATCAACGTGAAAAAAATGCAACGAATTTTGAGTATTGGAGACCTACCGGAAAGTCTGAACAATAGAGAGATTGCCATATCAGGGCATTCAGGAAAACTCAGCATTTTTTAGAGCTGATCGGGTAGTTTTTTGAGGATCTAACCGTTTTATAGAATAATTTTGAGGAACCTTCAAGTCGAAAATCTAGGAGAAGCGCACAAAGTTAGAGAAAAATCAACAATTTCAACAGTCTAGTTTCACTATTTTTTGGTAAGATTGCATTTGAAGATATTTGCGACATTCTTAATGACGAGGTCCCCAATCAGTTAGAGGTTTAAGGGTTTCGATGGATGGCGTAAAATATATAAAAAACATAAATAGTTAAAACAATGGTTTGGAAAAGTTTTGAAATCGGCACGGACACCTGGCCATGGCCTCGTCCATTATCAAACAGTGCACCTCAGACATGGTCCCAATTTTTCGATCGGCTTTTCGGCTGTCCGGCAACCAAGGTATTTTTTGGTAGTTATTCGACACATTCAGACGATGGAAGCCCATATGGGTCGCCAGTTGCCCATGTTCGAAGGAGGATGGCTGCCCATACGCCACGCCAGCAAATAGCTGTCTACCATGTGATAGTATCAAGATCTTGCTGGATATTCTCGATATCACTGAAATTCTCCTTCTGTTATATAAACCGCTAACTTGGTGTGTCGGTTTGTATATCTGTATGTATGTATGTCTGTGTGTCCGTCCGCAAAATGAAGTGAGTGAGGGAAGCTCATGGGATAAACAAACCGCTAACAAATCGGGTAGCTTACAGGACTTGAGATATCAATGTTTTGCAATGGCATAGTTGTGATAACACCCCAACGGCTATATAAACACCTACTTAGCACACTCTCGGTTTCCACAGGTGCTGCAAGTGGCTGCTTGGAGCAGTAGGACGGAGGAGAGAGGATAAAGAGATTTTGCGCATGTCCTGCCCACTGAGACTTCATTTCTTTCGCTGACCTCTATACTTTTTTCCTGGTGTCCAAGACTTCTTGGAACCGAGTAATAATGTTTCGTGCATAACTCCGCCCACTTTTGTGCAAGCTTAGCCCACCATTAGCATTTAACCCCTTTCCCTCCGGCAACCCTTATCCACATTTTTCCCGGTCGCCTAGCCTTCTTGGAACCGAGTTATGAGAGTGGTGGCAAACTCCGCCCACTTCGGGGTGTGCCACGCCCAGCGTTCACATTCAACCTCTACTCCTCCTCTCAC